ATGCTAAAAAAAAAAGGGGGGGCTTCCCTGGTGGAGCAATGGTTAAGAATCTGCCTGCCAGTGCAGGGGACACGGGTTCGAGCCCAGGTCCAGGAAGATCCCACATTCTGCAGAACAACTAAGCCCGTGCGCCACAACTACTGAGCCTGTGCTCTAGAGCCTGCAAGCCACAACTACTGCACCCGCGAGCCACAACTACTGAAGCCCGTGTGCCACAACTACTGAAGCCCAGGCGCCTAGAGCCTGTGTTCAACAAGAGACGCCACTGCAATGAGAAGCTGCGCACCGCAACGAAGAGTAGCCCACGTTCGCCACAACTAGATAAAGCCCGCGTGCAGCAACAAAGACCCAACACAGCCATAAATAAATATATACATACATAAATTTATTTTTAAAAAAGTTTATGAGAAATTCAAATAGCTATTGTTAAATTCAAGTACTAAAGCAGAGTATTCCAACCTAAACTCTATGGGGCCCCTGGTTTCCTGACCCCAGAGCAGATCAGAGACACAGGAAGATGGAAGTAGAGCAGATTACTAGGAGATGAGAACAATGGCCACTGCTTACCTTCGGTACTGGGGGAGAAAGGAAAAATAAAAACCAGCACCACAGAGCCTGGTATTTTGGAAGTCATTATTTCATAGTATAAGAACTGTCATTCATAATCATGACTAAATCAGTTAAAAAACTATATATAATAAGATCTATCAAAAAAATTTTCAAATATAGTGGTTTTATATTTTAAACTTTCAAAAGTTTAGTTTTAGTATTGGGATAATTCATCTATATGGAACATCTTTTTCCAGAGGTATTGTGTGTATGAAAACCTTACTAAATGAATATACACACAGGAAAATATTAGCTTAGCAGTGAAGGCCTTTATCAGTATGTGCTGATTATGTATTATCTGCATGGTAAAGCAACAACAAAATGCTCTTGGGTATCTAGGCTGACTTCCTGGAAAAATTATTACTAAATGAATTTTAAGTAAAAGTTGTATCTTTTTCAAAATGTTCTATTAATAAAAACATTGGAGCCAACAAGCAATAACATAGTGGGAATAGGAGTGCGACTAGATCAAAGTGGGAGCGCTCAAAAGATTAAATGGGGTAAAGAGAGAAAGAGAAGAAGCTTCAGAAAGAAAGAAAGTAGAAAAAAATGGAATGGGGGACAAGCAAGAAGAGGCCAGAGACTCTGAAGAGGTAGTAAGCTGGAGCATAAAATGTATCCAGGAAGTTCTGGGGAAGAAAAAACAGGTGACAAGTGCTGAACTGCACGGCTGGGCCAAATGTTTTTATTTCTCAAAAATGTTGAAAACAGGACTGTACATGAAGCTTTTTAAAATAATCATTCTCGCTCAGGCACAGGGCAATAGAACATAATTCAGCTGTTTCCTTACTTTGTCTAATGTAGTTATATTCAATTTTGAACAACAAATAAAGGGTTTTCTTGCTATCTATTGATAACATGATTTTTACTGGTAACAAGGGAAAATCTAGGCTTTATTCCTATTTCTTATCTAGGGGCAGCTATCTGCTTCCACAAGATTCACCATGTTTCTAAAAAGGACTCTGAAGTACCCGATTTAGGACTCTGCTCCTCCTAACGAACGGACTTTTTTGTTTTGGCCATTTTTTTTTTAAACTTTAAATCTCATGAATGAGCACTGCTAGCTCCTAACCCTGTTATTTTTCTTCCCAGCCACTCCTGTCTGCACCCTTGGTAGTGCTTCTCTTACCAAATGCTTTCAGGGACAGGAAGTAACAGCACCAAAATGCCACACCACAGCATTATAACCTACCACTGAGGTTGTGCTTTCCAATTTCCCAGGCTTGGTCAATGTAAACCTTACAGAAAGAGTTCTACTTCTCATGTGCCTAAGATAAGACTGAGAATAATTCACAAGATATCTACTATTCTCTCCTTAATTGAACCTTTTTTTTTTGCCACGCGGCACAGCTTGTGAATGTTAGTTCCCTGACCAAGGATTGAACCCGGGCCCTTGGCAATGAAAGTGCAGAGTCCTAACCACTGGATCACCAAGGAATTCCCCCTAATTGAGCCTTACGCTTAATAACCAATGCACCCACTTTTTTCTGGATAGGAAACTTTCATAACTTCTGTGTCCCCCTCCCCACCCCCAACAATTAGCTAGATATCTTCTTGCTCTAAAGTCAGTGCATGTCTCTCCTTAAAACAAACTACCCATTAACCTCCTAAATCAGTTGTTCCTGCCTAATTTTCTGTCCTAGCAAATCTGAGGAGAACAACATACTTCTTTCTACCTGTATTCATCATCATGAATGACAATAAATAAGAGTCACGTGGGAGGGGAAAAGGGTTGGGAGGTGTATTTGAAAAAACTCCAGAGTAGCTTCTAGTACAAGCAGGCTCCATCTGACTGAGAACTGACATTTTAACAACCAAATTTCTAAAAGGCTAGTTCGTAGGTAATAAGGATATTAAAGCCATAGCAGAAACTAGAAAACATAGCAAATTATTTCAGTATATGGGTTTCACCTACAAAGATGTATGAATATTCATTATGAGAGAGAAAAAAACCCAAGAGCCTCTGTCTCAAAGACTGTATTCTAAGGATCTCTCAGAAGTCCCCTACCCACTCTAAAATATCTCTATGGCAGCCATAAATCTGAGTTTACAATACCATTGATTTCTCTAGTGGCTGGTAGGATTTCTTTTAAAAAAATATATATATACATTACCAAACGTAAGGTAGATAGCTAGTGGGAAGCAGCCACATAGCACAGGGAGATCAGCTCGGTGATTTGTGACCGCCTGGAGGAGTGGTATAGGGAGGGTGGGAGGGAGGGAGACGCAAGCGGGAAGATATGGGAACATATGTATATATATAACTGATTCATTTTGTTGTGAAGCTGAAACTAACATACCATTGTAAAGCAATTATACTCCAATAAAGATGTTAAAAAAAATTTCTTAATTGTCCAAAATAATGAAGTATCTACCCTAACTTTGGGGTGCTCTGTGCTTAAGCTAGTAGCCTGGGCCAGAAAGTGATAATGCAGACCAAAAAACAGGCTCTTTTCAGAATGGCCATGATATAGAGACTGCTATTCCCAGTGCAGGGTGAGGAGGGACTAGAGTAGAACTGCCAGAAGCCAGTGGGCCAGGAGGCTGGGACATGGAGGCAGTAGCAAGAGCTAAGAACCATGGGAGGAAAGTTACGCAAACTCTCAATCCCCACTAGACAGGGTACAGCTTGCCTGTCAGCTTTTTCTACAATAAGTACATAAGTAGCTGGTAGCATTCTAAGGTGAAGACTCTCAGACTTGGTTAAGTAGCTGCGAGTGACAAAGGGAATCCTAAGCTGTAAACATTTTTATGGACACTGGATCTACCGTAGCACAAGTTTTGGGTTTCTCTAATGCTGTGGAGTTGATACATACTTTGACCTTCTGGTAGAAGCAGCTCAAAAGGATGAAGGGAATCCCTACAGCAACTGCATACTTAGGAGTGATTTAATGACAGGAATATGGAAAACAAAATGCTTCAAAGGATAGTTATTGATTGTATCTCAAGGAATTGCAAAGACAATAAACATGTTACAGGGTATTCCAAACACAACACAGATTCAAACTTAATATCCCACAGCAGCTGACTTCTGAAACATGGAAAATGAAAGGAGTTGATGTAGGAATAGTGGGAAAGGGAATTATTTCAAGATTTTCCTGTATTATCTTTGCATTTTTTAAAAAATAGAAAAACAAAACAAAGCAAATTATTTTATAAAATCCACTGTTTTTCTAAGCAGATTGGGTTACTTTATCAATTTTAGAGGAATTATAGTACCTCCATGAAAAATAAACGAAACAAAAGAATAAAACTCGCACATTCACTATCTCTTGCTATCAAAGCAATTTTAGGTCTGTTGAATTATTTAAGATTAAGAGAATATCAGTACAGTCAATCAGAATGCAATCGTTCCTAATTTGCATATGCAGGGCACTGGTAAATACTGTTCTAGCTGTTAACTAAATTTCATTATAATAAAAAACATTTTTCACTTTAGAGGAACTTTAAAACAAAATACTGTTAGTGCACTGTTAAAAATATTTTCCTAGACTGCAGGGTAAGAGATTAAACAAAAAGATGATATCCGGCCTCCCCCCAGGAAATTACTAAGGGAAAAAAAGTATTTTAAATCAAGTGAGGAACATGTAGGAGTGCTTCAAAGACCTTTCCCCTAATCTATCTCTCTTCCATTAAAGTTCTGGATCTTTCAGGGCCTTGTTTGGTGGTGGGCAGCAGTTTGGGAAAGTCACCTTAGCTTAAACAATGAACATCTGGACGTTTCGCATTAAAAGCTAATGCCACTACTCTGAGAGATGTTGATTCCATCTACCCAAAGAAAGCTTCTTACCTCGCTAAAGTATTTCCCACTAATACTTTATCAGGCATTACTGATAGACTTTCTTTTCTAACATAAAAGTGGGATTAAAAAGGTGACAAGGGCTTCCCTGGTGGCGCAGTGGTTGAGAGTCCGCCTGCCAATGCAGGGGACACGGGTTCGTGCCCCGGTCCGGAAAGATCCCCCAGGCCGCGGAGCGGCTGGGCCCGTGAGCCATGGCCGCTGAGCCTGTGCGTACGGAGCCTGTGCTCCGCCACAGGAGAGACCACAACAGTGAGAGGCCCGCGTACTACAAATAAAAAAAAAATTTTTTAAAAAGGTGACAAAAAATAAAAGAGATGATGACTAACAAGTTGTGCTCCCTCTGCAAAAGGGCTGAAAATAAAAGACTAAAAATGGCCGCGAATGCACTGCAGAGGTACCCACTAGGTAACTAGCAGTACAAAGAACATCACAATGCAAGAGCTTCCCATACACAATTTTCTTTCCCCAAGAAGTTCTCATAGATCTTAGGCAGGAAGGTCTCAGTTTAAGGAAAAGAGGCTGCCAGGAGTCACCAACTCAGGACCCTCAAACACTCAGTAGTCCCAGAGGCCTAGCCCTCCACACCCACCTCATCATCACTGTTAGACGTCTCCGAGTCTGAGGAGGCTGCAGGCTGACTAACAGGCGGCTCCTTCTCTTCAGAGTCACTTCGTTTCCGCTTTGCCAGGGACAAGAGCTCCTGAGAGGGCAAAAGTAGCCATGTGAGTTTTGTTCACAGAGAAAATATATCCAAAAATAATAAAATGCCCACCTTCTCTAGATCTCTTCTACTTCTTTGTGGTTTCACTTGAAGGACATCATCATGGGAACTTTGGTCACATGAACAGACCAACTGCCAGCACTCGTGCTAAAGAAATGCTTTCAAAGTCTGGAATTCCCTGGCTGTTCAGTGGTTAGGACTCTGATGTTTCACTGTAGGGGGCCCGGGTTCGATCCCTGGTCAGGGAACGAGGATCCCACAAGCTGCATGGCACAGCCAAAAAAAATCTGTTCCCTCACTCTTAATGGGAAATGTATGTCTGAAATGGAAAAGTGACTAGAAAACTAAACTGGAGGCTACCCCCGAATTTCCTCTGTAAGTCACAGAAGCACTGATTCTCAGCAATTGATACCATAAGAACTATGTCTACAAAGGTAATTTGCTCCCTGTTCTTATTGGTATAGCTAATACTCTGAGCACCCTCTTATTATATATAATTCATGGTAAAATTGGCATTTGTGGGGCTGTTCTGAATAAGCTGACAAACTACAAATTTCTGAGGTCATTTTTAATTTTGGATGCCTAAACCAGGAGGAAAAAAAATAGTATGTTTCTGGTGCTGAACCCAGAGTCAAGCAGTAAGTATGCTGGCCTCTACATGGGAATCCCAATTTGACAACCCCAATATTCCCATTCACCACCTCTGCCTTGTCCTGGTGATTTAAGGGAGTTTAAAGGAGAAGAGATACCCTATTTAGTAAGACATGACTACAACCAGGATTTGCTCTCTCACATGGTTTCCCTCTCCTGTTACTTCTCCCCAACTCAGTCCAGTCACTCAAAAACACAACAAAAGGATACTTTACTCTGGTTCTTGCTTTCTGCTATTATCAATACCAGCCCAAAATTATATTGTACTTACTAGATGCCAGGTACTTTTCTAAGCATCTAACATTTAATCTTCACAACCGCCTTAAGGTAAGTATCGTTATCTTCCCCATTTAAAGATACAGAAACTAAGGAGCAGGAGAGGTTAAGTAACTCACCCAAGGTAATACAGCTAGTACATGAGAGAACCAGGATTCAAACTAGGGCAGATAAAATCCTAGCTCCTATTTTAATCATGGTTTACATTTTCCCCTTGGGCCAAAAGAGAGAAAAATATAACTAATAAATACTAGTAGTATTATTCCTTGATGATGTTGGTGCTATACAATTATAGGTTAAGTGCCAAGACAAATTTTTTAAAAACAGACTGCTATAAAATATGTTTTCTTCTTCCAGTCTTTCTATTTTAGGAGTATACCCTCCTTGGCCAGAATGAGAAAATGACCTTCTCAGATTAACAGCTGACACCATCTCTTCTTCATAAGCAGTAACGAAATGTTGCTCTTCTCATTTCTTTAGATAGAGCTAGCATACTAACTTCCTGAAAAGACTTCAGATCATAAGAACACTCTACTTTTTCCACATCAAAATGGTAACTCCTATTGACCAAATGCAAATTACAGCAATGTTTGTGTGTTTACAGTCTTTTAAAAACTTGAGGGTGTAATTTACATACAGTACCTTTTATCCTTTCTTATGGATGGTTCTATGAGTTTGACAAATACATACAGTTGAACCACTCACACAATCAAGATATAGGACAGTTCCATCATCCCCCCAAATTTTGCTGTAAGTAGTGTACTTCCTGACCCTTTGAGGTTCACAAATGCACTAGAATTCTGTTTTAATACCAACTCATTATAACAGGGATTTGGATATGCTAGCAATCAAATCCTTTCCTGAAACAAGCAGTAGATATATTACAAACAGTAGATATCCATTAAAAGTTACTGTAACTAAAGTGTTAATGTGTTAGTATTGCCTACCTGTTAAAGAGATTCCACTCTATACTAAAAACCTAACAAATGTATCTCCAGCAGCAAACAACTGCATCTGATAGGCACAGTCCTTCCTCTTCTACTACATTAAATACCATATTAACAATAGTATAGAGACAGCAAAGACCTTCCTCTTAAAAAGTGTGAAAGATACCCTTTCCACAAGCTGAGAATTGTATACAAAGTTACTGGGGGAACTCATGGCAAGGCTACTCTTCATAGTTAAGTCCTTTATATTCTTTTTTTAAAATAAATTTATTTTATTTATTTATTATTTTTGGCTGCGTTGGGTCTTCGTTGTTGTGTGTGGGCTTTCTCTAGCTGCCGTGAGCAGGGGCTGCTCTTCCTTGTGGTGCACGGGCTTCTCACTGAAGTGGCTTCTCTTGTTGCGCAGCACGGGCTCTAGGCACGCAGGCTTCAGTAGTTGCGGCTCGCAGGCTCTAGAGCACAGCCTCAGTAGCTGTGATGCAAGGGCTTAGTTGCTCCGCGGCATGTGGGACCTTCCCGGACCAGGGCTCGAACCCGTGTCCCCTGCATTGGCAGGCGGATTCTTAACCACTGTGCCACCAGGGAAGCCCAAGTCCTTTATATTCTGAGGGCTCATAAATACAGCTGGACACACTAATGTGCAACAGAAAGGTCTTGCCAACACTCCACACACGAAGAGATCATCAGATTTGTTACCTGTAGGCGTTGATTTACCAACACCAATACTCAAAAAAGCCAATCTAAAACTGATTCATGCACAGGGGGTAGGTCCTTCTGCAGCTCTCTCCTGCTAGCCCACTTCACTGTGCCACACTGGTTGAGATAACATTTCTGTGTGTCCAGTGGTTCTCTCTCACCATCCTCCCTGTATTTCATCACATCTAGTGAAAACCTCCCCTACTTATCTCAGCATTCCTCTAGGATGGAATGGCTGTGTGGGGTGCCCACATGGTTTATCAAACTTAAGCTGAACTAAAGATCTGCTGAGAGTAATGCCAATGCCCAACACACTATAGGTGACTGTGTAGGATGGCACATCTGGCTTCTAGAGCAGTTTCATTAACATTGCTTGAAAACCATATTTAACAATAAACTAGACCGCCAAATTGCAAGTCTAATTGCACTAAGGTAATATTTATTAAAATAGTATTATTCTGGTTAAAATTAGAATTCTAATCCATCAATATATGAAGGCTCATAAACCTTAGGATTTAATTCCTCCACCCCATCATTCACAAACAGTGTATTTTTGCAATGCCATGTCGGGATCAATCTGTAATAAAGCAACTTATTTAAAGGAAATTACTTACTTAAAGGAAATTAAATCTCATCTCTTTAATCAAACCTCCCATGATCACACAAAAGTGGGATACAGATTCTGCACCCCAGAAAAGGAGAAAAGCCCAAATGGATAAACCTCAGAGGTCTTTTATAGCTAATTAGCATGCTGAGCTCTTTTTCACGTATTAATTCCACAAATACAACTAATGCAAGTGATTACTACCATCTAGGGTGACCAAACATCTTGGTTTGCTTAGGACTGTCCTGGTTTTAGCACTGAAAGTCCTGAATTCTGGGAAACTCAGTTCCTGGCAAGCGGGACAGATAGTTCCCCTGCTACCAGCACCTACTATATACCAAGCTGTGGGTAGAAAGTCAGGAATAAGAGATACATAGTCCTTGACCTCACAGAATTTAAAATCAAGTGAGGGGGTGTATGTATAACTGATTCACTTTGCTGTACTAACCTGAAACTAACACACTTTAAATCAATTATACTCCAATAAAAATTTAAAAATAAATAAATAAAATCAAGAGAGGGAGACAGACAATAAACAGGTAAAGAAACAAGTATATCTAGTGATAAGTGCTAAGAAGGAAGTGAATCAAAGTGAGTGCGGAACCTATCTGCAATAGGGTGATTGGGGGAAGGCTTCTCTGAGGCAATGGTATTTAGGCTGAGACTAGAAACGGGGGGAAGACACAGGGGTGCAATCTTCTGGATAGAAGTCTTCAGACAGAATAGATAAGGCACTGGACTTCTCTAGTGGTTAAGAGTCCACCTGCCAATGCAGGAGACACGGGTTCGATCCCTGGTCCGGGAAGATCCCACATGCCGCGGAGCAATTAAGCCCGCGAGCCACAACTACTGAGCCTGCGCTCTAGAGCCCATGAGCCACAACTACTGATCCCGCATGCCGCTACTGAAGCCCGCGTGCCTAGAGCCGATGCTCCGCAAAAGAAGCCACCACAATCAGAAGCCCACGCACCGCAAGGAAGAGTAGCCCTTGCTTGCCGCAACTAGTGAAAGCCCTCATGCAGCAACGAAGACCCAACACAGCCAAAAATAAATTCATAAATAAATAAATTTATATGTAAAAAAAAGGATAAGGCCCTGAAATTGGCAATAGCTTGGCTTAACCAAAGAACTAAAAGGGAACCAGGGTGACTAGAGCTTCATAGGCAAGGGGACGGGGGTGGGGGTGATGGAATGAGGCAGGTTAAAGGTAAGAAGAAACCACATCATTCCCAGGTTTATACAGCAGGATCAGGAAAATGAATTTCATTTGAAGGCAGTGGGGAGCCATCAAATGGTTTTAAGCAGGGAAGTAACCATCCCCTGAGGGTTTTTAAAATAGCACTCTGACTGACAGAAGAACAGATTACAGGGCCAGGGAGGAAGTGCAGAGAGGAGTCCACAGCAGAGTCATCAGAGTGGATGGTGACCTGGACAAGGTAAGAAGCCACAGGGACAGAGAGAAGTGGGAGGACTTGAGAGAAGCTAAGAAAAGAGTAGTAATTCATAGAGGTTTAAATCTGAGACATTATTTTCTATTATTTCTTTCATATCAAAATTTTTGATTGAAGAACATCATTCCAATAGTGGACACTGGTTATTTTTCAGGAGTAAGGAACAGAGCCATTGCGTGCATATACGTTTCTGGAACAGGGAGGTATTTTTGTTTCGCTGGAACTGTTTCAACAAGCATGTACTATTTTTATCATTAAAAAAAATACAAAAGAAAACAAACCAAAACAATGAACATACACACGAAAACCCTTCTGAAGTAGTAATTCCAAAGTGACAGTGTAACATTCCTTTAC